AACCAATTAGTTTCAAAGAGAAGAGGTTTTCCACAGCTAGTGACTGAACCCTTAACTTTGACCAGCCATCGCACAAATGCTTGGCTGAAGGTCCAAGGGGTACCAAGAAAAGGAATGCAAATGGCAGGTTCAAATCCAGTCCAACTTTGAATATCCCAAATTGAGCTCTCTATTCATTAATGGAAAAAGCAGTATCCATAGACTAGAGAAAGGCTTTTGGTGACGTTTTAGAAACCTAGAGACTCTTATTTGTCTCCTCTAGTTTCATAAAGAGCAACTAAAAACAAACCCACTCACTCACCCTTACAGCCAAGAAAGTGAGAAAAGGTAAAGATGAGAACTGCTAGCTGGTTCTTTCCAGCAAAGGAAAATGGCGGTCTGTTTTCATAAGGCATGTGTTCTTTTGGCTCCTTTTGTCCAGATGACCTGTGTGTATTTGGTCATATCTGAGTTTCTATTCCATCCCTGAGGGCTTGAAATCTAGCTTAACACAAAACAAAACAAAGAAGCTGGCTCCTCTTTAAGTGGGTGGAATCTCCTATCTTTGGGGACCAACAGAAACTATGTAAATAAGATAAAGGAGACGAAATGTTCTTTGGTCACTACTTAATTCCAAACTGCTTTATTGACTAGCACCAAAGCCTTGTTAATTACAACCTAGACTACGAGTCTGTTAAAGTTAGAAGAGGTCATTTACTTTAACAGAATCCCCTTGTTTTATGGACAAGGACATTTCAACCCAGGAAGTTTAAATGCCTGCCAAAGTCATACAGCTAATGAATGACAGGTTTGGGAGCAGTTTTCTGAGTACCGTATATCAAAGGAAAAAAAGCTTGAGTTAATAATGATAACCTAGATCTAGAAGGTTGCTGCAATCAATAATAATGAAAGTTAATCTCAAAGTTCCACTTAAACTCTTTACAAAATCCTATGTTTTAATACATAAAGAATGCTGTTCATTTTTTCGGACCTGTTCTTAATAACTATACATTGGAAGTACGTCTTGCAAAAGCTATAAATCTGGAATAGCTGAAAGAATATCCAACTTTCTCTTCTAATTGATTTACTTCTCTTTTCCCAGACCGCCAAGGTAAAGAATATACAGTTTATTTAAGGGACTGTTTATAGACTCTTAAAACTAAAAAAGACCCCAGAAACCCTTTTTCTTTTGGTTCCTCTTAATTGAAACCATCCAAGACGGTTGGTTGTCTGTCAATTTTAAAAAACCTCCAAGGAGAGAAATTCCAAGCCCATAACAGCATGTTAAAATGGTTAATCACCATGGCTGTCAAAATTTATATCTACGGCGAGTTTAACTTCTCCTGTTTCACTCAAAGGTCTTTTCCCCTTGTGCTTCATGCAAAATGAGTTTATGACGAGCCACCCTTTATGTGGGCTCCATCCGTCAGTAGGATAATAAGCTCTTTTGTGATGTGCTTTCTTCTCTATTATGCCACCATCTTTCTTACAGCACTAGGAGAGCACAAGGCTGGTTGATAGGCTCTGTTACCATGATGCCCAGGGAAGAATCAGTGATTAGCTCCTCATTGGATCTTTTATGTCATAAAATGTCTGGGGAAGCTGAATTAATTATACATGAACTGTTCCACTTATGCTGGAAAGATGTTCATGAAAAGGATACCTAGAAGTTTGCTTCCACTGTGCTCTAGCGGAATTTGGGCTTGAAGGGAAGTATGAGCTCATTCACAACGTTGGGTTAATCTACACAAAGTAAGCAATACAGAAAATTTCATTCAGAACTGTTCTACAGGGTTAAAAAAAAAAAGCTCTCCTTGTTAAATATTCTGGATTGACAAAAAAGAGACAAGTATGAAGGCAATTTTCTTTTAGATGTCTGGATTTCAAACTAAGATCAGAAACTGCCTTCCACGACAAAAAAAAATAAAATAAAAAAAAAGGAAAAAGGAAAACTCTACTTCCAAACTGGATTTGAAGTCATTTAAAATAAAAGGCAGCCACAATACAACTTCTAAAATAAGGGTGAAAACAACAAGAATCGACTGACAGAGGATAGAGTTGGGGAAGAATGTTTCCTTCTAAAAGGTATTTCAGAGACTGTAAATGCTTAGAACTGACTTCTCCACACACATTAAATCTCAGGGGGATGAAAAGGAAACAGTGAAATTTATTGACAACAGTTAATACCTGTAAGAATAATTGGCTCAGTCACAAAACAGAACATCCGTGTAGCTTGGGAATAACCAAAATGTAGCCTCTGAGTCATTGTTAGCATATATTATATTCAGCTGAAAAAACTGAGTAAACATTGTTCACAGTACCAGACAACCTAATTCTTGACGGTTCTTAAGACTAAGGCCCCAAACAAATGATTCCACTTGATTCAGTTGGATTCAACTGGATTCAATTTAGTCCATTCCTGTCAGTTCAACAATCAAACACTGGCAGCTATCTTATCCAGGCATTGAACTAGCCACTGGGATTCAAAGGTAAATATATGTGTCCTTGGGCATCAAGAAATCCAGTGAGAGGACGTTATTCATGGAAAAGTGGGAGGGTAGACCTTTGTAAAGTGATGCTACAAACGGGACAAAATATTCAGGAAAAAAAAGTATATAGGACATAATCTATTTTTCATGTTGATTTTTATCTTTTTACAATACTTGATAATACTTAGGTGCATTTTAAACTCAGCTGTGAGCTCCTTAAAGCCAGAGTCCATGTCTTATTCTCACTCATGCCTAGTACAGTGTCTTACACATAGCAGATACTCCATCAATGTTCTGAGTTAAATTAAAAGATTCAAAAAGGGTTAACTTTTATGGGCAAAGAGGATTGTCCAGTTGACGAGAAAGTTAATAAGAATATTTTTGTGCATGAAATTCTACATCAGATAAAGGATTACCATGTGTCATGAAATTCTATAAGGCAGAACATATACAACATAGACTCTCAATGACAATACTGACAATAACACACAATTTACAAAACCAGTTTCTACCTAAAGGCATACTCTGAACATCCAGAGTTACTACATACAGCTTTTCTCTTTCAGGTTCTTAAGCAGAATTTTTTAAAAATTGCTAAAATTTGATTGCTGTAACAAGAGAATAAAAGAGCATTTTTAGTGTCTTGAAATTGGTTTCCATCATAGTTGTCCAATATTTTTAAGTGTCTGTGTGAGCATCTATGAGTATCATATAGTTACTTAGGACCAATCATTCTTTCCACTCTCATTTTTCAACATCTAATGCAAACACCACAGGCATGGAAGGATCCAGTTTCCATGAACTGTGCACGGAAATCCTGGAGCATGTCATGTTGAACATCACAATTCAGCCTGGCATATAACAGAGGACACTTGTAGGCTTGGCAATTACCTAGTGAACAGGATCAAAGGAAATTGCACAAATGGATTATCAAGGCAAAAAAAAAAAAAATCCTCTTGGGCATAATAAGTGAGAACCACTTTTTCATTTTTTAAAAAATGTGGACTGGTAGCAGCAAATTATAGGATAATTATGCCCACTATTGGGTCATGTGATGACCAACATTTACCTTCCACAGGATGTTTTAAAGGTAAAACAAATCTGCCATTGGAAAAAGCACCCAACCAAAGCACTCATTCATCTGCCCTGCAACAGAGAACTGGATAGAATTGCTCTATTGCCAGAAACATAAATGAATTCACTCAATTAAAGCACTGGCTGGAAGCAGAGTGGAAATTTTCCTGTTCAAGTAGTAGAAAGCACTTCTGATTCTCTGTCACTTAGTGATTTAAAAGCTATTTGTTGCCAAGTCCACTGTAAGTACAGATCACCAGTCCTCTTCCCATCTCCTCTATTTATCTCCAGACTGGTATATAGCCCCTCCCCCAGTTGTGTCTTAATACACACACACACACACACACACACACACACACACACCCACCCCTGCCTAGAGAGAGCTGACATTTGGGAGGAAGATGAGAGAGACAGCAAGTGCATGAGTTATCACAGGAGCTATTCAAAGCTTAGTAGGTAACTGAGGTAAGCTGTCTACACTTGAGTGATTTGAACCTTTAAGAATGATTCATGCTCAGTTCCCTGGAACTTTCTAAAGTTCCAAAGAAGCATACAGAATCTGGCTTTAAGTCTTTCACGGTTCTGTAATATCAAGTGAGACAGACGCATTGGAGGTAGCTTCTTCAAGCTGTCAATTCCCTTAGGTACCACAGGGTTTTGTTTGTGTTTATTATTGACAAACTTTGACTTGGCAGTCTACTTTTCATTGACTTTCGACTTTCTAATCACCTGAGATCTACTTATGAGATAAGTGACTCTGTGCCTGTCAGGGACTCTTTTCCAGATAGAGATATCACTGGAGAGCCCCAGAGAAGAGCTATGCCCAAAGAAAGCAATAACAACAACAAAATCAAGGTCGATTTTGCAGAGAGGGCAAACTACTACAGCATTTCAGCTGGCATTTAGAGTGAGCTTGCGTGTTTGCAAATGTGCCTTTGAGTGAAGTTCACTTTCTGCCTGTTCATGGTGATTTCATATTGCACGGAGCCATCCAGGAAGAACACTTCGTTCTTGCTCCTAGTCCACATGACTGGAGAGTCCTTACTATTTTATTCCAGGTTATGCATCACTTAGCGCCGCCCTCCATGTGTTCATATGTTTATGTGTGTGACCGTCGGTCTTGAAAACAAAAGCCTCAATACTGCAGCATCCTTTTGCCTGATCCTTTCACGGAAAGGCATGGAACAGTGAGGGCAGATCGTAATAGTCGAGGGAGGGCTCAGCGGGAAGTAGTTACAGACAAACTGTTAAGGAGGAAAATTCCAGCCTGGATCTGCAAAACCTGCCAAAGCCCCCACTGAAACACTATGCTTACTTTAAGGTGAGGAATCTCAGAGGCCTAGGACGGCTGCCAGCCACGGGCAGTCATTCAGTTATTCACACACTCCCTGCGGTTGTAAATCCACAGAGCCGTCTACTTCAGACTCAGAGCAGGGCATGAGAGGGAGGGCTACTTACTGAAATAAAAGCCCCTGTCTCCACACACGAACTGAAGAGCGTCCACCAGCTCAGCCCCGCAGAGCGTCTCGGGTCCGGCTGTGGCCGAGCTGGTGAAGGTGAGCAGACACAGCGCCAGGTAGAGGAGATGCGAGGAGGACATGGTGTGCGTCTTCACCTGCCCGAGAAACAGAAGGGGGTCAGGTTCCTCTGTGGTCCTTGCAAGGGTAGTGGGGTGGGGACACGGGCACATCTGCTCCCAGAATTCCATGCCTGTCTTGAATCTGAGCTGGCCGGCACAGAAGTGCAGTCAAGTGCATGCAGCCCAGCGGGGGTCGTGGACGAAGCATGTCTTGGCAGTGAACAACCTGTGTGCAATACCCATACTGCTGTGGATCTTTGGAGAAGCCCTCCCCAAGACCCTTCTCCAAGGGGTCCTGTGTCAGTTGAGCGAGATAAAATATCTGGAAACATCTACTGTGTAAATGAAAGGTGCTATTATTGCAGTGAGATCCCACACCACCCTAAGATGCTCGTCAATTTTTGTATGATCTAAGGTTAAGTTGTGCCCAGTACAGCTATGAGACCAAATAAGTTTTGTTAATTTTAATTCTCTAAATATGGGCCGTCCACAGATGGCGTATGTACTCATTATTGACTAGAATATTAAATCAACCAGAACATCATTTCCTGGCTACTGATAAAAAGAATTTACTATGACAAACAAAAGACTTGTGAAAATACTATATTCCATTATAGTTGAGTTTTTTTTTCACTTAATGAGGAAGGGAGCGAGATAGAATGAGAGAGAGAGTGAGAGAGTGAGAGACAGAGAGAGAGAGAGAGAGACAGAGAGAAAGAGAGAGAGAGAGAGAGAGAGAGAGAGAGAGAAAGATTTCTTACGGGGGCAATATCAGCAGTTAACATAACCACAAGTGGAAGACAAAAAACAGAACAGAAAAAATATGAGAACTTAGAAGTGAAGTTGGCTCATGTTAAGTAGAAGCCATTCCTGCATTCTAAAGCCCTCTGCCTCAAGTCCAATATCAAATCAACACGTGTGGAGAGAGTCCTTCCATGTACAGGACACAGGGCTCAAAACCTGCAAAAGTCTTTTCTTGCTTTGTCACAGGAATTCTGACTTCATCTCTTGGAGGGACTTACGTGTCACTGTATCCATTTTCCAGCAAAACACACTAAGAGACCCCTGGTTGGCATGACTTAGGCAAGACAGGCAGCCAAGTGGCAGCCCTGCCAGAGTCAGGATTCTTGTGACTTGAGCCTCAGTTCTCATTCTTAAGCAGTAGAAACAATGCTACAGTGACCATTGCGTTTTTCCATAGATGCGACTTCCCGGCAACCTCCCCAAGTGAGGCGTGTCACCTGTCTCAGATGCATCCACTTTCAGCAGCCCACCAAGAGCCACTGACAGAGTGCTGGGTGAGGGACTCTATTGAAAGGGTCATGAATTACACTGGAAGCTGTAATTATCAAAAGAGCCTTTTGAAACCTCACGGTAGTGGCAGGTCCATTCAACCTCATCACTTTTGGAGAAACAGACTTGGTCGTTTATTTTCTGACCACCCTCCATGGACTCCCGAATTAATGGCTCTACATCACTGGCAAAGTCTCCTTCATCATCCTAATTAAGATTTCCATTTTTGTGGCCAGATCTTCAGCCCAGTAGTTGGGGGAAAAACCCCAAACCCCTGACTCTCGTTAACACAACGTAAATATTTAGTTAATGCTTGTAAAACAGTTGAAGATGAAAAGCGCCCTCTATTTGCAAATCATCATAAATAATGGACATAAAATAGGGAGGTAAGAGCTCAGCCGAACCTTTCTTGTGTTTTCTCAGTAGGACCTCTGCCTGGAACCTTCCTCCCTCACAGAGCCAAAACAGGACTTCTAGAAGCAAGTTATCATCCAGACCTCATTTTTCTTAGTTATAAAAGAAATAATAGGGTTTTCTCCTTCAATATTTCCAGTGGAAACCTCGACAAATTCAACCCAACTGGGTTTCGTGGCCCTTTTCAAAAGAACAAACCCGTAATTAATCTTACGGAACATACCCCCACACCCTGGCAAAGGGCCAGTTCTAGAAAGTATGCTATTCGACCAATCCTATTCCTCCACCCCTCCCTTGTTTGTGGAGTTTACAGTAATGCTGAAGGTTAAACACCTACAATTGTAGATGCCTTCGAGTTCTTCAGTTTTTGTGAAATCCAAGGGAAAAAAATTACTCAACTTAGAGCCTTAGTGAATTTGGAGCTTCATTAGATGTGAAAAGCACATTTTAAATAGCTATCTCTGGTCTAGCACATGCATCCACCAATACATACACATCTCTAGCATTTAAGAATTTAAGAATTTTTATAGATTTTTTTTCATTTTGTTCTTTCTTTTGTGTCAGCTAAATATCAGTACTTATAGTTCTGGGCAAGACAGAACCTCGAGTGCATTTTCCTTTAGCTTAGGGAATAGTCCAGTACACCCACGGAGAACCAGAAAATGGATCACATTATGTTCCCCCAAAAGAAAACAATCGTGAACTTGCTGAGGATTAAAAGTGTGAAACAAGTGGCCCCATATGTTCATTATTTCTTTAACCTTTTATTTTGCCAAACACAAAAGAAATGAATCGAGAGAAAGGAAAGCCGTGACAGAGAGAAAACAAGGAAGGGTCAGAATGACACGAGGAAAGAAAAAAAAAATTAGAACACTGTCAACAATCATGCACAAATCTAAATTTTAAAAGACCTTTCTTTTTATCTTAAAGAAATGGAATATCAATTGATTCCAGATGTCTGGGCTACAATGAAAATGCCCAGTAAAATTTGAGGGCAACAGCCATAAGAAAATACTCACTGTAGGTGTGATCATTTTTGTTTTGTTCCAGGTCTTTTACGGCAGGTCAGGGTGGGTATTATGAGGCTGATGTGAACAGAAAACTGAGGACTTAAAAACATGTGCTGCTCTGTGGGTGGGGTTTGTGAAAGCATCTAGTTACATTTGGACACCCAGGCAGGTATGCTAGGAGCCTGGGTAAACTGCCTTTTGTCCATTCAAACAATGAGCAAATTGAACAGTTGGGATTTTAGTCGATCTTTCCACCTCAGTTGAGCCCTCTCTTTCCATTGTGTCTGTGGAAGCCACTGGGAATAGTGACCCAAGTGCCAGTCCATACCTGCTTGTTCCCTTCTCCTGGCTGGCTCCCTCACTGGGAAATACCTTGACACGGAGTGCACAAGCAGACTGTGAGTTCTGCCTCTGGGCAGGACCCCTTCATGCACCAAATTACACGAGAAAGACCACCCAGCTCCCTCATGCCCCTTCCTGCTTCAAGCATAGGAAAAAGTAGCAACTTATGGCCAGTGCCGCATCTGAAGTGCTCGGCATACACAAGTGTGAACAGCACATTTGGAGACAATTCTCTAAACTTGTCATTCATGCCGAGATAACATCCCACAGCCTCTTCTATGACTCCCTAAGTAGGGAGACAAAGACCCCGGCTGCCTGGTCACATAGTATACACGCATATTGACTTCATTTCTCTTAAAACAAGGTGGCCAGCATGTGTTGGCATCTCAAGAAAGGCAGAATCAGGTGTTTGACAAGGGTGGATCTTTAACTCCAGAGCCACTTTCTGGACTAAGAGAAGTCCTAGTGGTGGAGTATTTGAAAGCAGGGAATGAATACTGCACTAAGTGGCAGGGACTTTAGGGACGTCTTATGAATTGAGCCCTCGGGCAGTTGCATGGGGGGTGGGGGGGGAGAGCTGGTGACAGCGGCTTAAAACACACACACACACACACACACACACACACGTCTTAAAGGATGTAATTTTGCTGAGAATGGAAACTAGAACCACGGCCAGTGATTGGAAATGAGAAGTCGGTGCATGGACAACAGCAGCCAAATTCACCTAAAGAGATTTTATAACACTGAGTGTAAAATCAGACTTTTACGACACAAAAGCCCAAGTCCAAACTTCGCCCGTGAAAGTCCTCTCCAAAAGAGAAAAGTTGGAGAAGCAGCTCTTAGAAAGTTTCTCCTTTCCACACACAGTATGCATTTGTTTAAATCACCCGAATGTGCAAGGTCAGGAGTTGTCAAGGAGTTCTTTTTCGGAAGAACGAGTTAAACTTGGCTCTAACTTTAACCCCCCGTGCGTAAGTTCAGAGTTCCGGGACCTTAGCTCTGAAGATCGTATTTAAAAGCTATAAAATCATGCAAACATGTAACTCTTTGTATGTGGCATGCCTTGTAAATAAAATCCTGGCAAGTTACACACACACACTCACACACCTACAGGCGTGCATACAAACATGGGCTTAAAAATAAGACATCTGCACCTGCAAAAAGAAAAAAAAAATTCCAAAGTTCATACCCATACCCTTAGCCATAGATGGGATTTAAAGGAATCTTCTATAATGACACCACAGAAGCCCTGCAGAAGTGGAGGGTTTAGCATAAGTACCTTGCAATAGTTTCTACTTATACAGATATCTGTGCAAATGCATCTATCTCCCCGAGCTATTTTTCCAGATCCCACAGAATTGCATATTCAGCAATTTATAAATAACTCCCGGTTCCGAAACAATGAAAATTTTAAAGTGAATAACAGTTCTAGGCAGAAGCAAGCAGTACACAATTTAAATAAAATTCCCCCCATGACTTCAAAGAGTAAGAAATATTTACCTTCAAGAAATCACAAAAGCAGCACTTAAATAATTGGGTTGGAAGACTGCTGATTTTTCTCATTGCTTCTGAAGTACAAAGTCTGGAAATGAATTGGTTAGCAGGAATAATGAAGCAAAAAAGAATCCAGAGAGATGGAAGATGTTGAGAGCAATGTCACATTTCAATTTTGAGGACTTTATTCCATTGCGCAGGCTCTATCTGCTCTGAATTTAGCAGTGACAGTGAGATTTAGCAAACAGAAGAGGGATTTAGAGAAAATCCTCACATTTATCTACAAAACACAGGCACTGTAGACAGGAAACAGCTGGGGGAACATTTGCCTTCTCTCTCTCTCCCTCTTCTGGCAAAGTTATCGAGTAAGGACTTTTTTGGGCATGGTGACAAATAACATCATACCTTTGCATTTTAAAACTAGAGCACAGAAGCATTTTTTTCCCTTAAAAGAATGTGTGTTAGTGACAGGGTTAGCAGACATGAAAAGACTTATGCTGCCATAGAAAATAAGGATCTGTTCTCTGATTAACTTTCTCCTGGGCATGAAGACACACTCGCCTGCTAATGCACCTTACTAGCCTTAAAGGAGCCTACACGGGGGAGGGGCAAGCAGTTTTACATTCTAGAGCAAACACACAATTAAAAAAATAATAGTAATAAAGGACAGAAAGACCATCTCCAGCAAACCCTCCGTGTTTAACCCTGAAGTGACCGGGGTAAAGTGGATTGGAAGACAGCACCCAGTGACCCCCTTGTCCTAGTTGCTCTGTGAGGGAAATGATCTCATTTCTAGAACCTACAGAGGGGCGGGCAGCCTGGGATGGGTCCTGGCAGGACAGTGGCTTGGACTTTTTTTTGCCTGAGAGGAGGCAAAGACAGTGTGAGTTGTAAAACCAACTGATAAAGAAAAGCAGGTCTTTTTCTTCATTCTTCTGGTAGGCTGCCCAGGAAGGACACCTGAGGGGCAGATGCTTTTACTGGTGTTTAAATTTTTCTGCATAACTTGAACCTATGTGTGTGTGCTTGTGTGTGTGTTGTGTGTGTGTGTGTGTGTGTGTGTGTGTGTGTGTGTGTGTGTATTTTCTTTCTCCAATTTTGTGTTTTAAATAACACCAGCTGGCTAGCAATACCCTCTCAAGGGTTATGATGTCATTCAAATCCCTCAACTGGGTGACTGGCCGGCAACGTGGTCCAAGCCAGCTGTTTTGCTATTTATAACGTACACTTGCCTTTGCCATTGAGAATTCAGTTCTGATCTTTTGTCGATATAGTCTGTACCTATTTCTCTCTGGTTTTGCAAAGCAGGAGATAAGAAAGTGGACTATGAAATAAGGTTGCAAAAGCCCCAAGCAGACATACCTTTTTTCCCTAGACAGGTCTCCAGACCTGGTTTCCCAGGAATGGTGGACCTCCTTGCATTTTTTTTTCTTCGTGATTCCCAGGCGACTGATGTATCAACTGGAAACAGAGGTCTGCTGGAAACCATACTCTGGCTCTTTATGTTGTCCTGGGGCCAGAGATTTGTTTGTAGAAGTGGTTGCCCTCAAAAGAAAACCTGTTTGGTTTTGAAAGGGGGTTGGGTTTGGTCAAGTCTTCTGTGTGGTTAATGCCTTGTAGCAATGTTTACCTTGCAGAAATAGAAGTTGGAAGTCTGGGCTGTTTCAGCGGTGACTATCTGGCACTGTTTCGTGAGCTCCTACTATGTGCTCAACAGCATACCTCCCTAGGGAAAGCAAGGGGAGCAAGATACATCAAGGCCTGCAGGGGCTTCTGGCCGAGGGGCAGAGACAAAGAAGAAAACCTCGTGGTCATGTGGTGGGTACGTAGTTTTTAAAAAATATGAAGAGTGCACAGGGAGAGAACCAAAGAGCTGATCTCACCTGACTCCCAGGTGAGAAAGTTCGGAGAGTTGGGCACAGGCTAGAGTCTCAGTGCTGAGTTCTTTGTTCCACCACCGTTCACCTTCCCAGGGACCGGACTTTGTTCCACCCCTTCCCATGGCAGCTTTAACTGTTCCGAAATGTCCTAGAAGCTGATGACAATTTTCCAGGTCTGATGTGCCCTCTGGGCGTACACAATGCACAGATGACCTTAACCCACAACCATCTCATATGGAAGACTTCTTTGGGGACAGAACACAGACTGTCCCATCAGACACTGCGCTCTCGCAATATCAACACACTGACTCACAGTCTCTTGGTTTTATAACCCCAATTACCCTTAACGGATAATTAGGTTTTAATTTATGTCCCAGTTTTTATATCACAATCAAAGAAAACTGGAATTTCAGTGAGTCGTAATTGTCATCAGCTGTGCTTTGGAAACATTCCGATGAGAGCTATCGGTTTCCAATGGGGGAAGCAATTTCCTCAAGTGATTGATGTATATTTCAATTTGGAGAATGGTCTGTATTTCTGAGGAGGGTGCGCCAGCAACAGAGCAGACAACAGAGCAGGACAATAATTCCTAGAGAAATGGCCATTTTCTTTGCACATTCCAGGAGTCAGTACGAAAATGAAAGAGCAGTAACTGTACGTGCCACACGGCTACTTTTTAATGCCTGAGCGCTCTACCTGTTTAGGAGACAAAGAAATGAAGCCACCTCCCACCCAAGAGTCCGTGGTGGTCGTAAATCGAGTGCCCAGAACAAGTGCAGGTCATGAAGTCCCACCAGAGAGCCACATCCAGGGTCATTCTAAAATTACTGAATGATTATGTAGTCTCCCACCTGGAAAATTTTGACAGCGAGATAAGGGAATTGTGTGCCCCCAAAATAGCTAACTGCAAGAATGTTCTCATCGTGAGAACATCCACTCCTGGAAATTCAGAGATTCACAGTTTCACCTTTTGCATGTGTAATGCCTGTGGCATATAAATAACTCTCTCCTAAAGCCTTCTACTTGAGTAGCGTATTTGCATAAAGCTGCAGCCTTAGAAGGCTTCTGACACCTTTCATTTAAAAAAAAAAAAAAGGTTGTTTCTTTCCTTAAAGGGCAAGCCGGTTGAGGTTTGCAGAAAGCGAGGCTAGGGTGGCCAAGGTCCCAACCTTTCTTTTTTGCTCAAGCCATGCTCTGGGCCTTCTCTGTGTCACTGGAGAAGAGATCATCCGAAAAGTAATTTCGTATCTATGTGCAAGAGGGCATATTTGCTATTTATTTCATGAATGTCTTTGCTAACTCCTAAGAAAAGCTCAGAACGGATATTTGGAGTAATAGAACTTTAGAACCCAATAAAGGATAAGGCCTGAGGTTCTAGGCAACCCACCAGGCAAAGAACGAGGGGAGAAACTCTTGGATGTTTCTCTTAGATCATGCTTTGTGGGAAGGGTTGTCTGGGAGCGTATTCTCCAAAGTATGAGGTCAAGAGCTTGTCAATTTGGAATATAAAACTCAGAGGAAAAGACCGAACCTCCAAAAACTCAACGTGCTACAGAGCAAGGGGACTCATGTCCGCTCCAAAAGAGCTGCTCGGAAGATGCTGGCTACTCCCCAGGAAGACCTTTGGTAGCTCACAGGAGCTGCTGGAACTCCTTGGAGAAGCACTGTCCCCACAGCTAGGGAAAACCGAAACAGGGAGGAGAGATCCTCTCACGAAAGAAATCGGTGCTTTCTTTTCATCATCCAGACTTGGATCTCGATTCTTCTAATATGTCAAAAGGACAAGTGCAGGGAACAGAGACGAAGCTGTTGGGGCTGGTGTGGGCAAAATAATTCTTCTCCACGACAGAGGAGGAATCACTGCCCGGGGAAAGGATGAGACGGTGGAGCAGACAGCTCGTGGGCTCACCACACGCGCCCCAGGTTGCAAAGAAGGTGGGGGAAGAGGCACCAAGGACAAACCTCAGGGTGGGACCCACGTAAGCGCTTTCCCTGGGAATAAAAAAATTGTGCGCGCCCTCTAGTGGGAGTCTGGGAAACTTCCAGGGTTCTCTTCACCGTGGCTGCGGGCGGGCCGGCCGGGCCGGGAGTGGGGGCTTTGAAAGCTCTGAAGTTAAATAAATATACTTTAAGCGGCACGTATCTTGAGTTGAGTGAAGTCTTTTGAATGTTCAACTGTCTGTAATTTCATAACCTTCGTGGGACGATGGGCGACTTCTTCAGGGCCGTATCCCTGATACCTAACTCCTGGGGCACAGACTCAAAACATTTTGTTGAATGAATGAAAGTCTGGAAAAAAATGATGAAGCCAAAACATAAAAAGACCACAAGCTCTTTGAGAGAAAGATAGCCAGTCTCCTCACTTTATAGATAAGAAGTAAGACGGACGGCAGGGGTGGAGGATAGAAAAACGACTTGAACAAAATACACGTAGGTACTCAGGAATGCAACTCAGGCTTGGTCTTCCCGTCTGCTCTGCACTCTGTCACATGGGTTTTCAAGGTGTGGGCTGTAACACCCGTGCTCAGAGACCTCAGTGTTGAGGAAACACGTAGGTAGAGAAGGGGTTCCATTTTGGTTCTCTTTCTAGCCTGAATTTCCCAAGGAGAACGTCTCCGTTGGGTACCAGCCTGTCTTCCATGTCTTCCTAACACTCACCATTCTCTCCTTTTCACATAAAGCTACTCTCAAGCCCAAAGTCTTCTCAGGCCGCATTTTCTATCCAGGATTTAATAAAACTGTTTTGTCTTTATTTGCTTTCAAGAATAGCTCCCATGTAGGGTAAGTGACGCTGTCGTTTTAAAACATACGTATCTAAGTCTTAAAAACATCAAGTCAGGATAAGATACACACTTACAGTAAGTAAACGATATTACAGGCGTCTGACAGTTATCACACACAATGTGTAGGCGGTGTTTGAAAGTGTGCTGTGTGGGAATCACTGCGGTGTAAACTGCTATTGTGTTAGCAAAACAAATAGCCACCAAGCACAGGCAGGGAACAAAGACCCGTAGATGAAAAATAGGCCGCCATGGGTATGGGTTAATTACATTTCTAGACAATTTGATCCTCTTTGAGCTCACTCATTTTTTCACTCGAGTCTTCCATCCAGCCTGGAAATGTTGAAAAGGGGTTAGTCGACTGAATAGCATCTGAGTTAGGCCTTGAAGCATGAGTTTACCTCTAAGACAAAAAACAAAAAAACAAAAAAAAAGATCAAGGCTGTTCCAGGCAGAGGGAACAGCATAAGCAAAGCTATGCAGGAATGATGAGGCTCCAGGGGGATGAGCTTGCAGTCTTGTGCTCTGAGTTCTGCCCGGTGGAACCATTTCATCCCAGTCTCCCCATCAATAACCACCTTCACGTGGTTGGAGGACTGGAAAACAGCGCTTCCCTCGCGTGACAAGATTTGTGTGTTACCAAATCTGTGGTTAATCCTGGGAATGGCATACT